AATGTGGGCTAGAGATAGGGTTTTGGTTTTCCTATATATATTCTTCTATTGTTGGAGGAAAAACCAAGCAGATGAGAGAGAGAGAGAGAGAGAGAGAGAGAGAGAGAGAGAGAGAGAGCCAATATTCTTATGATCTAGAGTTAGCAGAGGACGTAACATGATTCAAGAATATTGTGCGAGAGACGAGAGTTTCGTAGTCTTTGTCCGTGCAAAAGATTACATCATTAGGAGAGGGTTTCGCAGCCATTGTCAGTTCAAAAGATTGTAGGAAGTGGGTTTTGGAGAGAATAAGAGAGTTGATTATGTATGTTTGTGAGACGATACTTGAGTGGTTCCTCTTGTAATTCTCCCTGATACATAGTGAATTTTTCGTATTGTTGCCCGTGGACGTAGGTTGAAGTTGGTCGACTGAACCACGTAAATCTCGATGTTCTTTTTTCTTTATTGTGATTGTTTTCTATCTTATTGATTGTGAGTTGACTTCCGAATTACGGAGATCATAGTACGCGGTGACACTACAATCCCCAACATTGATGAGTGGTACTTTCTATTTGATTGCTTTCTTGGGTTATGTTAGTTGAAGCTCTCTTTTGAGACGATTGAACCTCTAATTTCCCTTCGTTTCAGTTGAAGACAATACAATGGAAGAAGATTAAGATTTTGGACATTAAGTTTATATGGAAAGGTTGATTAAGATCTAATAATAGAGTTCATTCTGTTATTTCTCGGGTTTTAGACAAAAGCATCTTTATAGAGACGGCCACTTTAAATCTCGTTATAGCTGTCAATGGCTGTTTAAATAGGAGCAACCTTTTGTGTTTCTCATTAGATCATTAGGTAAAAAAGTAGTGCTTTTGCTTTCAAACATGAAAATAAAACTTAGATTAATCCTAGATCTATGAGCCATTATATGAGGCAGTACTCCCACGCATGGCACCAAATTTTATGCTTGGACAAATATGAGTTCCGACATGTTTAGATGGTAGAAATATCAAATTAAAGACGCATTGCGTTCAAATTGAAACTTTGTTTGAATAGTATAAAAACATTTTTTATTAAACTTATTCATCAAATGAACGGATGAGCTATCTAGCTAGATATTTTTTCCACTTGTATAAATCTCTTGAGGACTAACTGAATTTTTATAGTAAAGTTTTGAAGTGCTTAGATGATGATGGAATATTTGCAATGGGAATTTAGATGTTGGTCCCTGAAATATTTGAAATTGCCTATAAGGCCCTCATGTCCTACATGATCTTGCAATTAGGGGTGGAAATGAACCAAATAATTAACAAATAGTTCGATAATTGTTCGAAAAAGTATTCGGTCATATTCGATTCGGTAGTTCATTTACCACTAAACAAATATTTTTTAGTATTCGAGTTTACTAACGAATAGAATTTAACCAGATGTATATTCGATTCGTTTGTCTATTAAATATTCGTTTAAAATTTGATCACATCATATTACTTGTATTATTGCACATATGATGTCATATTTTTAACCTACATACCATTTCTACTTGAGCTTTATATCCTGATTTTAAGACTTAAATAATCTTAAATCTGTTTTCTAATTAAAATTTTGATTTAAATATATATACATCATATATTATAAAGGAATAAATTTTATTTATGAATTCAAATACTATTTGAAAATCAAATTCTTTAGCGGAATAAATATACTTTGATATTCGATAAATATTCGTGAATATTCATGAATATTTATCAAATACCAAGTATTCGAGTTCGAATTCGAAAAACTAGATATATGAATTTTAGAGTCCACATTCGAATTCGATAATTTTAAACAAATACAAATACGAACATCTTAGTATTCGATTCGATTCGATCGTTTACCACCCCTACTTGCAATGCAATCCCTCGATGACCAAAATACCCCTCAAATCATGTTTACCCTTATAACTCAATTTTGTTAAAAAAAATTGGAAATTTCACAAAACCGCCCAAAACTCTAGGGTATTTTCCACAGCACCATCCTGAACTTTGATTTTCCCACTTTTAGTTCCTTTTTCGCAAAATCCAAAAAAAAAACTCAAATAACCCCCAACATTTTCAGTTTTTTCCACAAAAATTCTCAAAAAGCAAAGCAAAGAGAAGCAGATGAGCTCCAGATAAAACAAAAATAATATTGTATAACTAATAAATTCCTCCAATTGCAAGAACTTTTTTTTCTTCTGGGATTTTGTGAAAGAGGTTAAAAGTTTTCCGGGTCAATTGAGACTCTTTGGAATTTTAGGGTACTGTGGGAAAAGCTTTGGGGGTTAAGTGAAAAAAGCAAAGTTTTGAAGGTACTATGAAATTGCCCAGAAGTTTTGGGGGTGTAGTAAAACGTATTTTAAAAAACATTAGGTGAGGGTCATTTCGATCACTAACGGATCAAATTGTGAGATCCCATAGGATTTGAGAGGCTCATGAGTAATTTCAAAATTTTGAGGGACTAATACTAAATAACAATATAAGCACCATGATGTTCTTGATTCGTGTCTAACCTATGCATGGATTAAATTGTTTGAATCTTTTGACGTTTTAATGAAAAGAATCGACTGTAATGACGTGAACGTTCGACTTAAATGAGCTGATATTGATATTGAATGAATAATATTCTACTCTAAATCATTCCTTACATAACAACCCAGTCCATTATTAATAGTGTAAATATGCTTTAAAGATATGTAAGTTCCATCTGACATGTAACATCTATTTGGAAATAATCTCTCTAAAGTTGGGTTTAAGTTATTCCAAACTACAACTAGTATACATTTAGTTTGGTCTTTGGCAAAATTCAATCGCAATTAATGAATTCTCAGAAACCTCATTTTTGGGCACAAATATGAAAATTGAAAACAGAAATTTGGTCAACCCCAAATGGTCAACGAGCTAAAAAAAAGGGAAAAAAAAAAGAAGAGAGAGAGAGAGGGAGAGAGAGCCTATATTATTCCCTTAGATCTTCATGTTTTGACTTAGTCCTCCAAACCTTGATGTTTGAAACTAGTTCCCCAAGTTCTCAATGGTTTTCAAGTTAGTTCGGCAAATCTTCATATTTTGACTTAATCCCTTGAATATTTTTATATTTTTAGGAGGTGCTTGAAAATTTTGAGGGACTAAAAGTTAAAACACTTAAACAACCTGGTGACTAATTTCAAATATAAATATTTTGTTAAGGATTAATCAAGCCCAACCTAGAGTTAATGGGCCTTAAACAGGGGCTAGGAACTACTTTTAACGCAAATGTTATAGTTTCTATGTATTAGCTGTTACTCGCCATATAAAAAAGGTATTGGCTTGAAATTATCACTTTTTCTTGTCATATCCAGTGCAGGACTATACTCACACGATCTCAATATCTCACAATTAATTTGTAAGTATAGTTCAATCTTTTTTGAGATTCAAACTCTGGTCTGAACTATCCGTCATACATTCGATACATTGATATCCAACATTTGTAGGATTTTCCACCACTTCACTTGTGGTTAACTAGACCACCACCAACCTTAGCTACGATACCATTTGATAGGAAGGAATTGGACCCAACCTGGAGTCAAACGAATGTTGGAAACCAATTTTAACTAAAACACTATAGTTTCCATGTATCGGCCTCAACTCATATTTTAAACATATCATTTTTTTTCTTACTCTATCCGATGTCTTAATAATCTCAACAAATTTATTCTCTATCCGATGTCTTAATAATCTCAACAAATTTAGAGGACTAATTGTAAACACTCCAGATTTTGCAGACCAATTCAAAATATCAAGATCTGGAGAACTAATTTCAAAATATGAACTCTAAAAATAAAAACCCTCATTTGACAAACAGAACTTTGTTTCCAAACTAAGGCTGACCACAAGAAACATGAAAACCTCTGAATTTTGAAAATTAGAGATGATTCTTCTAAATTTTGGAGAGTTTCAAAAACTACTCTCTACTTTCGAGAAAATCTACAAATTGAAATACCATTTTTCTTGAAACAAGCATATCTTTCAGAAAAGCTATAAAAAGGATTCCCATAAAAAAATTGTTCCCAGGGGTGAGCACGGTTCGGTCCAAACCGAAAAACCCGACCGAACCGATCCGAACCGACCCGGAAAAAGCGGTTTTATGAGTAAGGCGGTTCGGGTCGGGTTGACAATTTTTCAAACCGACCCGAACCGAACCAACCGAATATATTTGTGCCTATGATTTGTGAGTTTATTGATGTGTTCGATCACCATGAATAGCAGTTGCAGGGAATTGATTCATACATAACCAATGTTCTAATGAGTCGGCTTCTTTTTTTGTCTCCACAAAGACCAAAGTCAAAGCTTGCTACACAAAGACAAAGCAAGTCCGTTACTAAAAAATTACAACGTCAGAGTCTAATATTTAATCCAAAAGGACAAGTTACTTCACTTAAAAACAGTATACATACATGAGCAAGAATAATAAATTGAAGTGAAGTTAAAAAACAAATACATGCTGGCATAGGGTAGTAATAATATATAAAAGATAAATTGAAGTGAAGTTATACTTGATGAAGTTAGAACCGAACAACCAAACCGAACCGCACCGAACCGATTTGTAATGGTTCGGTTCGGTTTTGAATTGTAGGTGGTTCGGTTCGATTGTTCAAATTTTGGTAAAAACCGATCCGAACCGAACCGTGCTCACCCTAGGTGCAACTCACCTTTAAGTTCAGGGTGTTTTGTAAACGTTATCCCAAATAACATCCCATATCGTAACCGTCCACAAAATTACAAACAACAGCAACAAAAAAAGAAATTAGGCCAAAATCAACACAAAAAAAAGCAAACTAAAAGACAAACATAAAGATGAAATAAATATACTAATAAAAAACCAGTGGAGTAAAAGCCTCATCATTTCCCTTTTGAGCGAGGCTAAAAAACAAACACCTCTAAATACAGCCCTATGCATTTCCCTTGCCTGTCAGTTTCTTCTCTGCATTAAAAAATAAAAAATAAAAACTAAAAAAAATTATTTTATCTGTCTCTTGTTGCCCCCCCACCCCTCCCCTCTCAGAGCATAAAAGGGCATACGATGATGGAGATGGGGATGAAGAAGCCCATCTCGTCTCTTGCCCTCTTCGATCTCTCTGATGTTGAGATTTGATGAAAAATGGACCTTTGAGGTTCGCATCCGGGTTGAAATCTGGAGATTTTGATCGAAATTGGAGAGACCCATGGCTTGATTTCTTCGTTTTATTGGCTAATATTGACGGGTTTGTGAAAAATCTCAGATTTTGGTGGCTTTTGCTTTGTGTTATTGGCTAATATTGAGGTATTTAAACAAACCCGTCAAAACTTTTCCATGTTTTTTGATGTGGGTTTCTTAGTTTAGCCCCCCTTGTGCTTGATCTGCTGATATCCATGCAGCCTTTTGAACATGGGTAATAGAATGTGCTGGTTTTGATAATTGATTACATGTAGGGGATAATCTCTTCTGAATCTAGGGTTTTGTTATTAGTTGATGGATGATTTCCTTTTCCCTGGATTATTTGTTAAATATGTCCTGCAAATTATTAAACCCATGGAATGAAAACCTTAATTTTATTTGTGGTTCATCCATCCTGGAAATGGGGCATCATACTTTACTTTATTCACATGATATATGGTGGTAAAGTCCGTTCTGGTGAATATTTGTGTTACTTAATTCATATGTCAATGTATTGGCTGTGAACATCATCTTTGTCTCTTGTTGTTTGATCAGCGTGCATGCTTAAGGTGTCTATAATTCTTAGCTAGAGTTTATATCCTAGGGATTGATTTTTAGTTTTATTTTATTTCTACCATTTTTTTGTTGTATGTTTATTTACATTTATAGATCTGATACCCTCATCATGTCAGGTTCTTGCTAGTGCTTTTGTTGAATTTTCTGTATGGAGGGTGAAGCATCATGGGACCTTTATCCTCTCAGCCATTTCAGAGTCGAGTTAACTAGTTACCGAGCAATTTCTGAGCACAACGACACTTGTGAAGAGGGCACAATTTCCATAGATAACATACTCCCCGATGATATATTAGAGAGAATCCTCTCTTTTTTGCCCATTGCTAGTATATTCAGAGCCTCGTCCGTGTGCAAAAGATGGTATGATATCGTTAATTCAAGAAGGTTCCTATGGGCCGTCAAGCTCCCCCAAAAGCCATGGTACTTTATGTTCACATGTAATGATTCTGCTTCGGGTTATGCATATGACCCTGTTCTTCGCAAATGGTATAATTTCGAACTCCCTTGCATTGAGCATAGCAATTGGTTTATCTCTTCTTCGAGTGGACTGGTTTGTGTTATGGATAATGATAGTAGAAGTCACATTTTTGTTTGTAATCCAATCACAAGAGATTGGAAGAGGCTTGTTGAACCTCCGGGAGTCCAATACCCTGATTATAGTGCTCTTGCCATATCTGTGGATAGAGAGAATCATACCTATAACGTTGCTATGGCGAAATCTAAGCAAGTTCCTGGTGATTATCTAAGATGGGAGTTATCTATTCTCATATATGAATCTGAGACTCAATTGTGGGTGACTTCCATTAAAGAGGTTTTAATGGGATGGAGGGGAGGTGATGAGTGTGTTATATGCAATGGAGTGGTTTACTGTTTAATTCACTCCACGGGCATTTTGGGAAATTCCGACCTCCGCCATGGACTCATTGTTTACAATCTTACAACAAGATTCCCTCACAATTCAATTTTGCAAACTTTGATTCCGGCCCCTTGTCCTCTTACTTGTGGCCGGTTAATGAACTTGAAAGATAAAGTGGTGATGGTTGGTGGTATTGCAAAGTATGATAGGCCGGATATTATCAAGGGAATTGGTATTTGGGAGCTTCATAAAAAAGAATGGAGAGAAATTGCTCGAATGCCTCATAAATTTTTTCAAGGATTTGGAGAACTTGATGATGTTTTTGCAAGCAGTGGTTTTGATGGTCTCGTCTATATTCAGAGTTATGGATCTACTGCTTTGCTTGTGTTTGATATGAATCAGAAGCAGTGGAAATGGTCTACAAAGTGTCCTGTGACAAAGAGGTTTCCTCTTCAGCTTTTCTCTGGTTTTTGCTTTGAACCGAGGCTTGAAGTTACTGCTTGATTTCATTGTTCTCTGTGTTGCGATTCTCTTTTGCAGAGGAAGGTTTTTATGGATTTGGAGAAAGGTATAGAAGTTTGATATTTTTATATAATTATTGATGAAAGTGTTGGTGATCAAAATATTTATCTTTTTTGTTTTTGTTCTTTGCTACCTTCTTCATGAAGCTTAAGCTTGTGACATGTTTAAGCAGAGTTGATTAATAGAAAGTTAAATTTCTGCTTCATATTTTGGATATTACTTTTGTTAAAAGGTTTTATTTATTTTATCCTGCTATATCTTATTTTAGTTACTAGTTATTTCTTTTATCCTGAATGATAATTTGTGTTCTGTAATTGGTATTCTAGCCTTTGCATATGTGCAATCCCTTAATAGGTCTTTGTAGTACTTAGAAATTGTGACTTTTTTCTTTGCTTTGATGATCTCTATCTTTTGAGGACAGAATTATTTCGGAGTTTCTGCTAATTTTCTGCTAGCCCCCCTCGCTTGTCTTTTGTCGATCCTACCCTCAGTATTTGTGGGCTTTTTTTTGTTGTTGTTGTTGATTATTTATATACCTGGAGCTCGCCACCCACTACTTAGAAATGGAGGGTCATCAAATTGAAGAATATTTTTGCTTCATTTCTATTAGCCTTATTTTTGGGTGACTTTCAATTATCCCATATCTCATAATAATATACCTGGCCAGATCTTAATCCGAATATTTTTTAGTTCCAGTGTTTTGCCTTTGTCATGTTTTCTCTGTTTCCTTGTGTTCTTGAATTACTTTGGACTCCTGAGCTACTGATGTTGCTACATGTGCCCTTCATACTCTCCTTAAAATTTTCTCTATTATTATTCTTATTTGATTATCTTTTGAATATTTCTATCTCCTTGCTTGCTACCATGTTCAGTTCTTGTTTGATTATCTTTTGGATATTTATATCTCCTTGCTTACTACCATGTTCAGTTCAATAGTGTGATTATCATTTAGTAATTTTCTAAGTATCATCCAAGATGTTCATTAGTCACAAATCCATAACATAGCTTCTCCATTGGCCAATCCTGATCTGCTCATCTCCTTCTAATTAATTCGGACTGTCAATTTGTTTCATAGTCTTTGTATGATGTCATTTGAATTTATCTCCATTTATTTTTTCAAATTTCTTCGAGGTCATCGAATCCACTTTAGACTTGCTCCATTGGCTCGCGATGGTTCTCACGTGGTGGTTGACTTGTAAACTGACGTATCATCTCAGCAATGATGTGCTTGGTGCGTTCTTTTCAATTGTTTCCGTTTGGCTTGTGTAGTTTCAACTTTGGTGTATGCTTGTCCATTTGTTGATGCGCCCTATTTCTTGGTTTCCTCTTGTTAAGCACGTCATTGCATCCGCTTATCATCTTCCTTCGCTACGTAAATTTTTATTCTCATCAATTATAAAATAGCTTTGCATGCGCTCCCCTGCGACGCATTCATACTATTTCTCCTGATCGACGAAAGCTCGTTTTAGAGCATATGCTGATTGAAGTTGTGAGAAAACTTCCTTTCAACCTTTCAGCATAAGCTAAGGTTTTGTCATCAGGAACTTCTTGGTTTGCTTTTCAACATGTGATTGTATTCAGGTGCGCAGGTTTTTGTTGAATACAAACAGAAAGGATTCCCTTCCCTGTATTCTTACCTTTCGTGCGAGGGTTTTTCCTACTAAAATGAGACATGCATGTTTTTATCAGATACTTATCCTATACGGCATTTGAAATTACTCGGTGTTCTTATCTTACCGGGTATCTTTGTAAGATTCTGACATGTATCCAGTCGTAAAAGTTATTTATACATTATTTATTTTGTGCGTTTACAAATTATTATGCTCCGAATGTATTTGTAACTCCACAATGTATTTGTAACTCCACGATGATCTTGTTGTTGAATCATGGTTGAACCCATGGCGAACTGTTGAACTATTATTGACCGGTATCCATGGTGAAATTTTGGCAGATATTTCCTCTGATTGAAATTCGCCGATGTATCTGAGGGTAAAAGAGTAAAAAAACCGACAAAACCGACAGCAAGAGAGTAAAAATTTTAATCCAGGGTTAAAAAAAAAGTTTTAATCCATGCGCTCCACCAACAATGAAACAACAGGAGCCGTGAGTTCGTTAGGAAAAATTACAGATGGTCTACGTGCTTTACCCTAAAAAAGCAAGCTACTCGTTGTTGAGGAGTTGAGTCAGCTTCTGCCAACTGGGGAGGCTGTATGTATCCATTATTGCAGGCTCCATCAACTGAGAGGGAGATAAAGACCGCGACGGGATTATTGTCCGGGCTATTATTAGCAGCTAAACCCAATTTTTGTTTTGCGATTATGAAATGGAGAGGGAAGGATCTTGAGCTTGCAATAAAAACCAACGAAGAATTAGATTCCTTGTTAGCAGCACATAAAGCCACAGAAGACGGGTGACGTACGGCTCAAGTATGGACAATTTTAGGAACAGTAGTTTTGAGCATGGTGGGGCCCGTTGTCAGGGCCTGTGATGGGCTGATCCAGATAAGTGGCAGCTGTTGTTGGATGAGAAATGTATCATGTATGGGGTTTTGAGCTGCGTTCAGGCCTTCTTTCGTTGCAGTATGCTGTCACTTTCCTCTTGGGGTAATAAAAACAAGAAATTTGCTCTGTTTTTGGTGCGTGCTGGGATTTGTACAGTATGTACAATGTGTATGATGTTGGTAAAGTGACAGCAAGTGATCATTATTATTATGGTAGCAAATGATAAAACTCGTTTGCTTTGTCTTTTGTTTTTAAATGCCCATTGGGCCGTTGCGCTCCTTGCTTGTTGGTTAGTGCTTACCCCATTGCCCATTGGGCTGTATGGCTGGTTAGTAGTTACCCAAGGGTTGACTTCTATTCATCTATTATATTAACTTTTCGTTGTACATTTGATCGTGAGAGAGGCTACTGGTTTTTAATTACAATCCTCTAGCAGCATGGTGGATTCGCTTCACATTTTATCACTTATATTTTCCCTATGTATTGTCCAATTTTATAACTTTTCCTAATTAAAAAAAAACCTTTGTTAGTTGTTAAGATTGTGTAGCACTACTTATCTAAATATGCTTGAAAGTGCATGTCTAGAAGGACTTCAATCCAGAAGAACTTGGCAGCTCCTTAAAATCTTTCCTCACATTTAGTTTTTTACTTTTTTTTTCTCTTTTCATCTCACTCTTATCTTATCATCTTTTCCTCTAATAACCTTCTATCAAGTCCCATGTCTCACTCTACCTTCCCTCGTATCCAACCAAACCTTAAGGGGCTGCTTGGTTGCTTTCCTCCATTTTCCAAGTCCAACATCCTTCACTTTTTGGCGTTTTCTTTACTTTCATGAAAATGTATTTCTTGTGTTTATTTTGTAGAAAATAAAGAGAATAATTGCTTTCCATAACTTTCATTTGTTTGGTTCAACTTGAAAAGAAAATAAAGTAGTTGATGTATGGGTAGATTCCCTCATTTTCTAGTGTTTATTTCAAACTACAAAAATGTAGAAAATTTGATTGTGGTCACTATGGTGTGATTACCACCCATATAAGACAAAATCATTAGCAACAAAAATGAGCGGTGAACTTGCTTTCCATCACAAAAAAATGTGAATATTTGAGAGAGAAATTTCAAATCATTTAACAACGCGAGGGGGTAATTTGCTGCATATATTTAAAGATTTGAGGTAGTAATTTGCAAAATGTCCACATATGAACATTTTAGGGAAAATGTTAAAAAACTTTAAAGACTTAGGGGACTCAAAATTAACTTTGAACTTTGAAGACATAACATGAGCCATGAATTCTATAGAGAAAGATTTAATTATGCTCAGTTTTGGTCTATGTCGTCAAAAAAAGACCATCATCATAGTTGTGCCTATAAACATGAAAATTGTGAACAAAAGAAAACTCAAAGAGCTCAACAACTCAGAATTAGCACCCATGAACCAAACATCGTCCATCTGATTGAGCTCAACCTGAGCATATACCAATCAACATAAGCACTCATGAGCTGAACATAGTTGCCTTCAATCTGATTGAGCTCAACATGATCTTATAATCATGTAAAAACCTAACAAAAGGGAACTCAAAAACTAAATAACTCAAAAAACCAAATGGCATAACTCAATCTAATAATATGCTCAACTGAGCATGTACGCATGATTGAGCTCAACCTGTGCATATAATCATGATGACACCGAACAAAAGAGATCTCAACATGAACCATCAACATGAAAAATAAAATCAAATTAGAGAGTTGAGAGCTGAATATAAACTACATAAAAATGTGCACAGAGTGTCATACATAAACCATCATCGTGTTTATTGATGACTATTTCAAATACTCTATAAAAGCATCAAAAAGTGCAAACCAATGTTGAAACCAAGGCTGAGACCAAAACTAAAACCAAACCAAGTCTCAAACTATCCAAGACTGGAAAAAAAAATTGCTCAGAAAAGGTCGTTTTCTTCATTATCTGCCCCGTCATTAAATTTATAATAGCAATGTTTGCTGCAATTATCATAATGACCCTACATAATAAGCAGTGTCATCATGGAATTGCCTCGCCAATATATTACTCCTATAAACTTTAGCTGCATATCTTAAGAATGGACCATCACCGTAGCATAAAAATATGATAACATCTGCCTTATATTTAGAGTCAATCGAGACTTGACTAGTGTGTCGTTGAAATGGAGCTTATTCAAATTCTTAGCTATCGTCTAAATATATTAATAATCTGATTTGTGTTTTGAACGTGTGACACATCAGTTTTCTTTTATTGATTACTTGATTTGTGAGATTCTGGATATGAACTCAGTAATATGTACTACTCAGTGAGCAACACTAAAGAGTTGCATAGATTTATAAATTAGGAATTCAAGTATACATATTGATGTAATAGCAGATATATCTAATGTAATGTGTAATTTGATGGGAATCGCGCGCTGAGATGATGACATCTTTGTAGCATTCGAAACCAAATAACATAACAAGTTAAAATCACCCCTCACCTCTGAGCCTTTGAACTCTCCGGTTTGAACTCTCCGGTTTCCTTACTGAGATAATACCCGTCAAATCGTGTAGATCCGATCGGATCTAGATCGCGCGGTGGTCCACGGATTAACCCCGGCGTTGGCAAAGAACCCACAAAAGCAAGTGACCGCAAAACAGGAGCTCGTGATTCGTTCGAAAAAGGAAAGTTGTAATCTTTTTATT